CCGGTTGGATCGAATCTGCGCGGCTTCACGAAAAAGGGCATAACTTTTTTTACAGAATGAATTTTAATGCAAGGTTTGCGCCATTGGAAAGCTAACTTCCGGGGCTTCAATTTGGACATCAACCGTCCATTTTTTGACCTTACCGGCCATCCACCGGCACTATATTTATCCGACCGGCCAGTATAAATTGCAGGTCGGCAATATATTGTGCCGACCGGCCATTTATTTTGCCGATGACCTCCTTTCATGGCCGATATGCCCCTTTTTCATCCCTCAAGCATGGTGCATGCCAGCTGTGCCAGCTGGGATGCACAGACCCTACTCCCCGTGCATATATGTGGCTATTTTGCACCTTGGACCACCCTTTGACCCCTTTTCTTGCACCCTTTGCTCAAGGCTTCTTGAGGAAGCCTTGACCCCTTGTCTTGGCTTCCCCAAGAAGCTTACCAGCTGTCCTAGCTTCTCCAATAAGCCTTGACCTCCCCTTAAACCCCTTTGACCCTTTGTAGCTTGTCTTAGAAGCTTAGTCTTGCCTATATAAAGGGCCTCTCCTCCTCCATTGTTTGGGGTTGGATGGTTTTTGAACAAAAAAGCCAGAGATATATAGATATATCTGATATATACATACATATATCACCGGGACCGTTGGCCGTGTGCCTCGGTTCGGGACCGCCTAACCACCTCCGTTTGTTCTAATTTTTGGCATATTTGCATCCTTTATTAAATTATACCACACTCAAATCAGTGGTGAAACTATGTTTTGAAATCTAAATCAAATAGAGCCTAAAGAGTGATGGAATTATGTTTTGAAATATAAACCAAACAGAACCTAAAATATTTGGAGGGAGATTTCAAATTTTGGAGGGATTAAAAATAGAATTAGCCACTAAAATATTTAGTGGCCAATTGTTATTAATTATTCTACTACTCTCCCAGTCCTCTCCCATTTCACTCTCTCATCGTCCCTCCTCTCTCTCTCTTTCTCAGTCATGTCTCTCATCATCCCTCTTCTCTCTCTTTCTCTCAAGCGACCCTCCTACCGGCCACCACTGTCGCACACGAGCACCCACCTCCTCACCGGCGACGGTACAACCCACCTCCCCACCGGCGACGGTACAACCCATCTCCCCACCAGCGACAGAGAACAGTAGCTACTTTGATTTGTCTCTCCTCCAGCGCACATCAGGTATTTCCGGCCTCTTCCTCTCTCTCTCTCTATATATATATATATATATCTTCACCCAATTTCTAGGGTTATATATTTGCTTTTTTGTTTCTTTAATTTCGAATAATGATTATCAATTCTAAGAATCATTATTCAATGCTGATAGAGTGGTCGTGTATGTGATGTTGATTCATAAAATTTCGAATAATTTGATCAATTTGTAGTTTAATTTGATGTTTTGATTGTGTTCTGAATGTGAAATGATATTCAGAGTTCTGGTTTATTGGTTAATTGAACTTTAATTGATATGATTTGGAGGGTTTAGGGGCAAAATTAGGTTATTGATATATCAACTCTGAATTCAAATTGAAAGTTAATTTGTGAATTTGACTAACTGTTTAGTGGCAAAATTAGGTTATTGATATATCAACTCTGAATTCAAATTGAAAGTCAATGAGTGAAAGGATATATAACTTCATCTAATAGGATATATAACTTTTTCTGTCCCTACTTTCTCTCTATGTTTTATTTTCTTAGTTTGGTTTTATCATTGTAAGATCAGATGAAATTTTCAATAATTGCAACCTTAGTTAGCAGTGAACTGCCAAAGCTGTCATTTAACTTAAAATATACCAGTAGAGAAGGGATTAGGTCTAGGGTTCAATTTTTACTATTTAGTATTTACTACTAACAAAAGAAAAGAAGGCTGTAGTGGATTAATTGATAGAGCGTTGGGAAGAATTTTCATCTGCCTTACTCTCTATTGTTTTTTATTTTTATTTTATATCAATTACATATTATCATTTCATCAAAACTAGTTGTCAAAAGAGTATGAGACAAATAATGATAATGATAAAGATATAGATGATCTTATGCCAGCAAGTAAAAAAATGCATAATGAAGTAGTTCAAAAATAAATGTATGAATTAGATTCCTTCTAGTTGTAGTTCACATCGCATTAGATATAAATTTACACCATCATTTTTTCGGAAAGGGGTTTTTTTTTTTTATTTTTTGTTTAAAAAATTTTTTTTTTTTTTTTTTTTTTTTTTTTGGAACGATTATGCTGTTGTTGATGTTGTTGATGGTATTGTTGACCATATTTTTTTTTGGCCGGGGACTTTTCGGGGTCGGGGAACCCCGATCCCCGTTGGGGGGCGGGGGCAGGGGCAGTGACAGGTTTCCCGTCGAGGATCGGGGCCGAGAACGAGGGTATTTCCACCATCGGGGATCGGGGACGGGGAGTGTGATCCCCGGCCCCTCCCCGCCTCGTCCTGTTGCCATTCCTAGACTTAACATCTATTTGAACAACATAGCTCGGCAAGGTGATCTGGGAGTAAGACCTATATCAACTACGTGTTCTCTATCAAGGATGTTATTTTCATCAAAGATCTAACATTCGTTTGTGCCACTAACTTGGCAGTAAAAACTCTCATTCCTTCTATTGAAGAAAGTGAAAGTTTTTGGGCAATTGTGATAGCCCAAAAATACCAAAAAATCCTAACTTATTGGGGTTAACCGAAACAAGTCCTAACAATGGACTTAAGCCCAAGCAAGGAAGCCCATCAAGCAAATGTCTAGAACAAGTCACACCCACCTCTATAAAAAGAAAGCATCCCATAGAACATAGGTATGCCTCATCTCTACAATACACATACAAACACTTTTCAAATTCTTCATCCATTCTCTTTGATTCAAGAGTTCTAACTTTATCATTGAAGTGTTCTCGGCCAACAACCTTGCTTGGGTGTCGTCAACCATGTTTATCTTTGCAGATCTATGGGATAAAACTCATCTCTTAGTTGGATCTCTTCAACAATTCATGTGAGAGGATTTTCAGATTCTTACAGTAATTAACCCCTCAGAAAAATTACTTAAAAAATTGTCCAAAGGACTACATTCTTTGTGGGTGTTGCCCACACCCTACTAGCTTTCAGTTTACATCACAAAACTATTTTCGAGGTCAAATTCAGGATATATTATTACATTCTGGAACCTCTAGAATGTTTTTTTGGTTGTACTCTCAACTTTTGACTATTGTACTTTTTTTTTTTTTTACTATTGATCCTAGAGTGCTTAATATAATCATATATATTATTAAGGTAAGGGTCTTAAAAATTTGGAGATTTATTAAAATATGGAGTCTTAAACGTTTGTCTAGCAGAAAAGCTAAAGGGAGACGATTAATCATGGAGTTGGAATCATAAAAGTACAGCAATTCTACCTGTTTGGAAATTTCCAAATAAGATCTGGCATATACTTTTTTTATCAGTTATAATTATATGTATTCAAAACTGAAAAAACAAACAGCTCACAAAGTATGGGCTGCGAGTTCCCAAACATCTTCATTCGAATTTTTTATGTTTCGAAATTCTTGTCACTTTGCATAACTGAGACTACATTGGAAATAGATATTTGGGGATAGAAAATCCATGACTGTTTCTTACAAATTGTACTAGTCCTTGACCATACCAAATAAAGTAGTAGATAAAAAAAGAGTATATGTTCTTTCTTACAAGCCCAAGCTGGAAGGGTAATCATATGTGATAAAGGCAGCCAGCAATTGCACCTCTCTCTCTCCAACTCTATCTTGGTCCTTAAGGGTCTCTCATTCATGATGAGTCATGACAGTGTAGGTGAGCCCTTACTTTCTACTCCTCATGGAAACTTTCACACAAAGCACCCCCACACACCAAGGAAAACAAAAAAAGAGAAGATTAGCCAATACTCTTTGGGACCTCTCAACAGATAATTATTGTACATATTGCATCATACCCATAAAAAGTAATGATTAAAATTAATTTCAAACTGGATAAAGTTAGATTCTGTCTTGTGGTTTGTTCATATTAAATTTGAAAAATTCAAAATTTTAAGCATCATTAAAGATTTCATCATCGTATAACAATCTAGATTTATGTATTCCCAAAGCCTGGCAAATATGTACGTACTTACTTTGTGAAAGTTATTATAGCAATATGAGAACTGTAGTTGGTTAGCTGAATCTGCCAAATTACCTACTTTAGAAAATAGCTGTTTTACCAGAACAGGTCCATATTGATCCTTTATCAAGTTTTGAGAACATTTTGTAGAAGAATGTGTTAAAGAATTCTACAATGTATTCTGTTGCTGAATATTAAAAGTTTAATGAGGAAGTTGGGAAGGTGTTTTTATCGAGTGGGTGTTGGTGATCTGAGAGTTTTCATTAAACAAATCCTCTTTCAACTTTAGGATATTAAGGTGAGTGGGCATTTTGGTCATTTCACCTTCAAACATTTGAAAGTTGGGAGCATCTATTTGCACACTACAAAGCTTCTCAATTCACACTATTTTTTCATTCAGATTTCAATTGCCCAGCAAAAAATCATTGTTTGAATACCAACTGCTAAACGAAATTCTAATTCAATACTTGATATCTAAGCACTTGTTTTCTCTTCAGTAATTGATATTCGAACAAAAAAAAATAATGTGAATCGAAAAAAGGGTAGTGTGCAAATAGTTTCTTTAAAATTTCTTTATCAAATTTGATTCTTTTTAGAACTTATTTATTAAAAGGGTTGGTTTCTTTGTAATTGGACTAGATATCCCCTCCAAATTTTGTTATAGAAGTAGTACTCACAATTTGGCCCACTGTTGTGCCTACAACTTCTCTCACATAATTTGGACTAGATATCGACTCAAACTAGAGATGAACCGATCCCTTTACTAAAACCAAGTTCTTTTATACAAAATTTACAAACCCATGTCTATATTTTGTTATTTATTTTAAAGGGACTGCATTTGATAAATAAATCTTATAATAACTTGGGGTTTTATAAATAACTAAAACATTTGCTGTAAAGAAATCTAGTTGGTTTCACACCTTTAAACGTAGCCTTGTTTATAAGCATCAGTCACAGAGGAAAGATCACCATCATTGTAAAGCAGAAAGGCAAATAAAAGAGAAGATCACAAGAGAGATTACAAGGAAGAAAGGAAAAAGGTTTGGTAGAGGCACCAATGGCAACCCAAAAACCAGTATTGGAGCAGCAACAATCACAGATGTTGCGAGTGAAGAACTCGGGATTGATCAGTATCAATGGAAGCCCTGTAATGGAAGACAGGGAAGAGGAGATGACAAGGTCGGCTCTGTCTGCTTTCCGCGCAAAGGAGGAAGAGATTGAGAGGAAGACAATGGAGGTGAAGGAGAAGGTTCAAGCTCAGTTGGGCCGCGTAGAAGAAGAAACCAAGCGATTGGCTGAGATTCGCGAAGTAAGTACAAGTATATCACCACATGATCATGCTTGTGTTTGTGTTTTTGGAAACAAGAACAATGGAAAGTTAGAAATTTTATTTTTATTTTTTGCTAATGCTGTGGTGACTAAATTTTGGGTACCACATAATATGCTGGTGCTTCATTTTTTTGAGTAAAAAGGCTTTTTCAGAAATTTATTCAGAAAACAATGTCCTCATCATAAACAGAAAACAAAACAGCATGCAGCAAAAAAAGATTTTCAAATGAAATTTCCAATTTATAAATAAGCCAACCCCAAAAAAAAGAAAAGAAAAAAGAATATTTGGAACTTGGCTATAAATTGATTTGAAATTAGAAAATGAACATGAAATCCATTTGCCCATTTCATTTAGCTGTTCCAGAAAGTGTGAAACTCCAATTTTTCACTAGTTTCATTTTGCTTTGCTTTGTTTTGTTTTTTATTTTTTAGTTTTTATGAGTAAGAACTGTACATATATAGTCTTAATGACAATTTACTGTGGTTTTCTTTATTTTTAAAATAAAATCTAAAATTCCAACAGGAGCTTCATGCTCTGGCAGATCCAATGAGGAAGGAGGTTGCGATCGTACGTAAAAGGATTGACATTGTTAACAAAGACCTGAAGCCACTAGGACTTACTTGCCAGAAGAAGGTGAAAAAACCTCATAATTATGTTTCAAAACTACATTTTGCTATTATTTGATCTTCTCATTGTGGCTGTGCATAGTGAACAAGAGTGTTCACTACTTGATTAAAAAATTATGGTTAAATCAAGAAATTTGACCAGTCATCTTTTGCTTTACACTATATTTATTTTGGTGATGACAATAGTGATTTCATCTTATACAACAAAGTCATGTGTAAATCATATCCAAATGCAATTATACATAATTTCATTTTCTTGGCTCAAAGAACTCACTGTTAATAGACATGCTTCTTTTGTCATAGTTTTGTTTACAACAGAAATAGCCTTCCAAGGATGAGTTTCGTGTCACTTTAGTTCTCTATATAACTTTCAATTTTGTCAATTTCATTAATAAAAATAGTCTAAATCATACAAATCACCTATGATTTATGGTTCGCTCTGAAACATTATGGGACTATGCTTCGTTTTCTTTATTAGTATTGGTGTTTAGGGATAAAGTAACAAAACTGAAAACTGATACAAAATGTGTACTTTAGAGATTATAAGTGTATTTTGTTATCGTGCTGTTAATTATTTAGTTGGCCCATTTGAAATTGGATTAATTTAACTCAAATTAAAAACCTTAGGCGCAGAATTGGCAAAATTAAATTTTAGGGATGATAGATATATTTTATCCATTTCTTTCAAATGAATATTCAAGTAAGCTGATATTTTTTTGGCTTACCACAGGAAAAAGAATACAAAGAAGCCCTTGATGCCTTCAATGAAAAGAACAGGGAAAAGACACAACTGCTTACCAAGTTAATGGAGGTAAAATTCTTAAATATTTAAATATCATGAGACCATGTTTGTAACTTGTTTTCATTTTTCTCACTCTGCTTTTTCCTCTGTGAATCATTGATCAGCTGGTGAGTGAAAGTGAGAAAGTGAGGATGAAGAAGCTGGAGGAGCTCAGCAAGAACATAGATACCCTACATTAAAACCAATACATTCCAATAATTAAAACTGAGTGTTTGTTTGTTCTATTCGACAATCATTATCTTGAATTCTGTTACATTTTCTGTTTTCGGTTTCACTCGCTCTTTGTTTAGATTTTTTTTTTTTTTTTTTTTTTCTGATTTTGGAAACAGACTCTCCCTAACTTGGTTTGTTACTTAACACAACCCTGCTCTAGACCTCTGCCACACATCCCAATCACAAAAACGTTGTGCCATATTATTATTGAAGAGCTTGATATGTATTGTTGGATTCCTTTCTTAACAGTTTAATTTTTTTTTTGTATATGGTATCAGAAAGTCTTGGTTTCAATTCTCTTAGTTTGTATTTTATTCCTTTCCATGTTTGGATGTTCGCATCTCCACTTGTAAGACAAGGTTGCATGTGAGGAAAAGTAGTAGAGAGATTGATACGCATTATCTAGTCACTTTCCTAATAGCTCAAGTTTTTAGGAATCTTGCTTTTTTGTTTGGTTTAATTTTTGAAAAATGTTTATAATGTTATTTTTAATCATTTTTTAAGTTTTTATATGCACCTAGTCTAGTAAAATATTTGGGAAGTAATTTTAAAAAAATCAAAAAATACGAAAATGTATTGATATACATATTCTATTTCTATGTATTGATATACATATTCTATTTCTATGTATATAGTTTTTTTTTTCTTGTAAATATTTTACTTTTTAAATGTATACAAATTAAGTGGATTTAAAAATTAAAAAACTGATTAACATATATATAAAAAAAAAATACTAAAGAAAAAAAAGATACAGACAACAAAAAACTTAAAAATAATTTTTGAATTTCAAGATCAAATGAAGTTCTCTTCCTGTTTAGATGTTTGCATCTCCACCTTTGAGACAAAGTTGCACGTGAGGAAAGGAATTAAAGAGATTGATACGCATTGTCTATCCTCCTTCCTAATAATTTAAACTTTTGAGATTAATAGCAATGGATATACATAATTGGGACTAGTGGAGAGATTGATATTCATTGTGGGTTGGTTAGATCAAAGCAGATCTATACACAACATACTATCACATAAATTCTTCCCTTTTCCATAGGGATGCCACCAGGCAAGTTTGGGGCGGGTTTGTCATCCCCTCCCCGCCCTTGCCCCCACTTTTAAACCCCACTCCCGCGCTATCCCTATCCTCACATATACCTGATACTTATGAATATCTGATCACATTTCAAATTGTCAAAAAAATTGAGAACCATTTAAATTCTTAACACATTAAATATTTTCCTATAACAAAATGAGAGGGGTGACATTTTGGCTTCTTATTTATTTATATTTAAACGGAATTACAGACTTTTAGTATTCATTTTTTCTAATTATATTATATATACATGTATATTATTTATTTATATATATTATTAATTATATGGGTCGGATTTTGACCAGGGCGGCGATGCATGCTTCTACTGCGGGTGATCAAAATTTAATCCACTTCTGCCCCGCATAAGTGTCGAATCGGATAAAATTCACCCCATTCAAAACAGTATGAACAACGAATCCCGCGAATCGGACTAAAATAGCCATCCCTACTTTTCCACGTCCACTTCCACTTCACGAACTTTTCACCAATTCAATTTCATGTATCATGATTGGTTAGCTTCAAGAGGACCTTTTTTTTACTTTTTCTTTCCTTTTATTTCACTTTAATGAGGATACCTAGAACACTGGCCCATCAGTTCAGTGAAAAAACAGACAATTCTTCTCAAATGATACATAGGATTCTCCAATTAGTAGATGGTTAGGTAACCAACCTCATAATCAATGGGTTGTTTGAAATATTTACCAGATTCTTCAAACTACCGTCGACAATAAGCAATGAATTTTAAATTTCATTGCAAATACGTTATTTACATGAATCAAAAATTAAATTTCATCACTAAAAGTGATAATGGAAAAACAATTAGCAAGAAAATACTGTTTTTTGAAGCTTAAAAGGACTATCTTTACCGATGAATTAGTTCCGCCAAAATTTCTAATAGCAAGCAAGTTTTAAAAATAATAAGCATTGAAATATAAAATTTTCATGGATTGTTAGACTTGCAGATATATAATCTTCCAGTTTAATGTAATGACTCTCATATTTGTAAGTAATTTCCTATTGATTGACACACAAAAAATACAAAATTTAAACTTTTTTATCTTTTTTGGGTCACATCAATCAACATCTTCTCTCTACTTTTTCTACACATAATACAATAAAAGTCAAAAAGTACACTTATTTAATCTTCCCAAACTTGACCTTAAACTTGGATACTTATAGAAAGCATTAGAATGCCATAGTGTTAAATTTGATTTCCAAAAGTAGAATAATTAGAAGTTGTTGCTATTGCTAGAACATTTAAGATTACCGTTGAAGTAAAGTACAACCATCTAATACTTTGAACCTCGATTTTTCTCTCTCTCTTTTTAAGTACAAACAATTAATGCTTTAATATATTAGGTTTACTATGCATGTGGAATATGTTGAGGGAAATTTTTGGTGTATCTAGAAGTTTCTCTTGAAGAGGAGTCCTACACGAAGAACATCTATTTTAGAGATGCTTGTAAGAAGTTAACCGTTAACAATAAAAAATTATTTAATGGGTTCGGCAGCATGAGTTCATATATGTTCATTTAATAGTCTTTTGTATTTTTGTCTATCATGTTATTTGTTTTTTGTTTTTTTTTTTTTTTTTCCTAAGGGGTTTGATTCTGTTTTTTTTAACTTATATAATTCATCTTATTATGAAATTTTTAGAATTCAAGATAGTCACTTCTTTTTCAATATTTGATGCTCCAATGATGGAGTTATTAAGTCAAATGTTAAACATGTATAGTGGTGTTTCCCAAAAAGCAACTTAACTTTTTCAAAATTATTTATTATTGTTTTAAAATTATTGCCCAGTGAAAAAACGTCTTCACAAAGTCGTTGGTGGGGGGTGAGGCAGTTAGGTTAGTGTTAGGATTAGTCACACTCAAAAATCAATTATACATACGGAAAAATGAGACACGAGATTTTACACACAGAAAAATGAAACACAAGAGATTTATGTGGTTCGGCAATTGTCTACGTCCACGAAGAGAGATTACCACTATAGAATTATCTCGGAAGGAGATTACAGAACTCACACCTCACAACCCTCTATAGAACTCTCTCACTCACAGATTACATACACACTTTGTGTTGCCTGTGTCTGTTTGTATTGTTTTTGTTCCTTTCCTCCTCACCTCAATTTATACAGAAAAAAGAGGGAAACAAAGTGAAGGAAAAAGTTATTGAGCTTGGTCTGCCACCTGTCCGCTTCCCTCTTCCCCCTACTTCTTGACTTCGAGCCAACCTTCATTAACTCCTCCATGTGGGCTAGAGCTAACAATTCTCCCCATCTACGCCTATATGGATAACTGACTTCTCACTTGAAATCCATCCCAGTCGAATTTTTGCAAACTTCTAGTTTGTCTTTAGTGACAACCTTGGTCATCATGCTAGAAAGATTCTTGTCCGTGTGAATCTTTACTAGCTCCATCAGCTGCTTTTCTATCACTTCTCGTATCCAATGATACCGGACATCAATGTGCGTTGTACGTGAATGGTACATGGAATTCTTGCTCAGATCAATTGCACTCTGACTATCACAATGTACCTTGTACTCTACCTGCTGTAGACCCAATTCTTAGAGAAATCGCTTTAACCACAACATTTCTTTTCCAACATCTGAAGCAGCAATGTACTATGCCCCTGTTGTAGATAAGATAAAGCAACACACTTTTGTAATTTGGACTGCCATGAAACAACTTCCCCAGCAAAGGTGAACAGAAATCCTGATGTAGAATTTCTAATGATTGGTTAGCTTCAAGTATCGACATCTGTAAAACCCTCCAAAATTGGTTCAGCTCCCCCGAAACATAAACATATCTTTGAAGACCACATTAAATTAGCCTATTTATTGAACACCTCTTCGCCTTCACAACAACCTTAAGCTTATATTACCCACAAACTTGTCAGATGGCAAACAATGTGGAAGCAAACGATCAAGTAAGACGCCGACGCAGACGTCCAGCTCGCAATCAAGGCATTAATTGCAATGGACCTATACCTGCTGAGGAGTTGCCAAGACCAGTCGGAAACCAGATTCTTGAAGAGTTAGGAAGGCTTAGAAGAACGCAACCAAATGAGCGGATATATTTGTTATCTGAGTTCAGAAAGCAAAGACCGCCGGTGTTCACAGGTGAGCCTGACCCGAGAGTCGCTGAGAGCTGGATTCGTCAAATAGAAAAGATGTTGGAAACCATGGGTATTACTGTGCATATAGACAAGATCACCCTGGCAAGTTACCAGCTAGAAGGAGAAGTGGATCATTGGTGGTCCTTGATGAAAAATTCTCGAGACATGACAAGCATGACTTGGGCTCAGTTCAAAGAATTGTTTCTAAGAAAATATTTCCCAAATATAGTTAGACAGGAGCGAATTTGGCAATTTCAAACTTTGAAACAGGGTGAGATGACAGTGACTCAGTATGTGGCCAAGTTTGAAGAGCTGGCTCGATACGCAGCCCGATACATCGCACGAAAATTTGAGTAGGGTTTAGACCCTATTATCAGAGGTAAAGTGTTACCCTTGCGCCTTCCTACATTTGCTGATGTGGTGGATACGGCATTGGATGCAGAAAGGGAGTGGGCAGACTCAAAAAGGACTTGGATGATGAAAACGAAGAAAGGGGGTCAGTCCTTTGTAGGACCAAGAAGAAAGGACCGAAGGAATGTGGTATAGACACCATACACCAGACCGTCGCAACAGCCGCAACAACAAAGCCAGAAAGGAAGTTTACAAACCAAGCCTATTACACAAACCCAATGCTTTCATTGTCATCAGATAGGGCACAAGAAGTCAGAATGTCCCCAACTTTCTGGGATAAGAAATCAAGCAGGGGGTTCAGGCGCGAATGCTCAAGTTATTGGTGGATAAAGGTCATGGACGAACAAGTCAGGAGGGACAAAAGGAGGAAACCGAAAGGTTGGACCAACCGGTAATCAAAAAGCCACAGGCAGAGTTTTTGCTCTCCAAGAGGAAGATGATGAAGATCCATTAGTAATTAGAGATAACATTGTACTCTATAATTCTTGGGTTCACGTTCTATTCGATTCTGGCGCATCACATTCTTTTATATCAACATCGTGTGTTAAATCATTAGGTCTTGAATGTGAACCTTTAGAAACTACTTTATGTGTTGCATCACCCTTGGGAGGAAATATTAGGGTAGGATTAATCTGTCGAGGGTGTGAATTAGAAGTGTCAGGGTTACACTTGAGTTGCG